CCAAACTTCCTCTTTCTCAAACCTCACGCTGACTCAGTTCCCATTTGAGTCTGGGGCTCTCCATCCCCAGACGGCAGGCGGCACCCCCAAAGAGGGTTCGGGCACCGGGCGGGCGCCGAAGGGTCCCCGCGAGAGCCAAGCCGGCAGAGGGGGAAAATGGAGTGTGTCAGCCACCGAGGGAGGGGTGGAGATCGGAGGGTGACAGGAATAGATCAGTGATGGTAAGGCTGACCTTTTTCCTTCCCTAATTTTGGAACAGCTGCCCGCCTCACTTGGGAAACCAGCCATCCGGGGAGGGCGACCCAGAGCGGAAGCAGCTTGAAAGGAGAGACAGAGGGGGAAAAAAGGGTCTCCGAAAACACCCTGGCTGGGAAGACAAGTCCCACGTCTTAGAAATCACCCCTCGAAGAATTTACGAATCTCGCAGACGCCCCTGCCACGGACACAAATAAAGCATTTCCACCTTTCAGATCTTGGCCGCTTGCAAACGATGCCTGGGAATTGAAATGCAAAACAATTCCTCCCCTCCCGCAAACACAATGGGGTATTAAGCAGAAATGAGACCTAGACACGATTTGGGTTTCTTTCTTCCAGGAGGAGAAACAAACACGGATGCATCCTCCTGTTTCCTTCTAATGTGAATCCAGAAGAGAATTAGTCAGTACACAGAAAAGCTTCAGCAATAAAAAGAGGGAAATTTAGTCACAGAGCGCTTGCAAGCAACGGAAGCTGTTCGGATCAGCAAGATGAGAGGCCGTGCAGAGCCCCCTCGCTGGATAAATGCACTGATTCACTAGCGTCTTCTTCCATAATTAACTCGCTAATAATCAACCCTGGATTAGCAGAAAAGAGCCACAGACCAGACCAGGCTGTAAATAAGAAGAATAGATAACGCAACTAGAGTTAGGATTGGCGGCAGGAATTCAAGCCAATGTTGCTTGGCTTTGCCTCTCATTCACGAAACGCCTTCTGGAGAAGACGTGCTCCCCCAAGCCCCTTTCCGAATTTCCCCTTTCCCTAACCTGTGTGGGTTTGCGAGGTGGGCAACATCACCGGGCAGGCTCACCAAAGCCCTTTCTGTGCGCGCTCAATTGCACGAAGAAAGAGACACAGATCGGCTTACCCCGTCTGCTTTCCATAAAGCGCTATTTTCCGAGCGCTGGCAGCCCGTCCGCCCGGGACCTGAGCGAAAGGCATGGATTGCAGGCAGGTGCGGGGCTCTCCTTCCGCCTCTCAGAAGCAGCCAGCAACGGACGTCACGCGGCATGCCAAACCATGCTTGTGCATCTCAGAGGGATCCAGCTGGATCCGTACCTTTCTCTGCGGACCAGCTATGGACCTTGGAGACCTCCCCGGTCCAGGACAGAGAGCGCTTCCTATCCGTGCCCAGGATCCTTCTGGCTGGCTCTCCATCCACAGCTACAGCGAGGGAAGTATTACAATCAGCAGCGCTTAATTCCTTTCACTCATGAATTCAAATGTTTGTTCTCTTTGGAAAAGCATCTTGGCAGAATTAGGCCTCTCTGGCATTCCTCCCCTGCTTTGCCGCAAACTCTGAAAAGCTGCCTTGGGCCTAGCTCAACAACAACCCATAGTCCTTATATAACCATCGCATTTATATAATGATGCAAACCCCTGAAAGAAACTCCGAATGAATGTTAAGTTCGGCTTGTTCCTAGTATTTGTTTCCCCCATGTAAGCATTTCTGGAGTTACTCTAGCAACGTTTTGCAACTGTGCCTGGCAAAACAGGGAAGTGGGTAAGAAAACTGTGCTGCGAACAATCTTTGGATGGCAGATCGAAAGAGAGGTCTCACCCGTCCCGTCTGTGTGCATGTGTGTGTGTGTGTGCAGGAGAGATAAAAAGTTGAGGCTGTGTTTTGCAATTCGCATCTCATTCTTCGCTTTCCAGTTCACAATAAATGTTCAGTGATGGCCAGCACAATAAAAAACACCATTTCCCCCCCCCAAATTCAAATAACAACAGGGTTCTATTCGCTCAGAGAAAGATTCACCAACTTGCAGGGAAAATAACGTTGTCCAAGGAGACCTCTTTTGGCTGGGAGCTTAAAAGCCCGTGAAAATACCAACTCTGAAAGTTTGTTGTTCTCAAAAAGATAAAAAAGGAAGAAACGGTCCTCTCTCATCCCTGTTTCTATGAGAAGTAGAAGCACTATTGAAGAAAGTATTCCAAGGCAAAACACTTTGGGATTAAAGAGATGCCCAGAAATGGCATGAAGAAGAGAGATAATTAATTTACTAAAGTGTAAAGCAGATAGGAGGGGGGAGAATAATATCCTGCTCTCACTTCTAGCAGACTTCCAAGACTCTCTGCAAACGAGGCTAGTCTAGAAGGGGAATTTTTGCATTTCTCAAGCAAGCCTGCGTAGCCAGGATCACTAACTGGCTGTGCCTATTAACTGAACCCACCACTTCGGCTTTGTAAACATGAAGCTCAGTTGGTCCCTCAGATTTCAAGACAATAAAGTAGAAAATCCACCCGCTGTCTTTGCGTCTCGCACACGCTGTTCAGTTCTACAGAATTTCCGAAAGAATTTTAGAAAGCTCATGTCATTTCACAACAATTCTCCCTCTCTCTCGCTCTCTCTTCTAATGCATCTACCACCTCCCCATCATACTTCCCCCCCCCCGCTTTTTAAGACAGCAGATTTTGCCGCGTCAGAAGTTTCCCCAGCGGCTGAAGGGGACGCTCGAATCCAGAGAAAACCAAACATTTTCTGTCTGGAGCACGCTTTCCCCTCTTCTTCTCATCAGTCGCAGGAAGGGAAGCTATTACGAGGAAACAGAAACTGGGCTTTCTCTAATGACGAAGCTGAGGACTTTCTGAAACAGCCCAAAACAGAAAGAACCCAGGGGTTATTCCATCCATCCTAACTTTTAGAGAACACAGTTTGAACGGGCCGTTCAATCAGCTTTACTCTTAATGCATTGAGGAACCGGACGGCTGCATTTTATATTTTCTACAGCTTCGCTGCACGTCTTTTAAGGGTGCTGGGCTTTGCCATAGGGGCTTTTGGCCAAAAGGGTGGTGAATGACGGTAAAACTATTGTCCCAGGTCCTTGCTGTTAGGTCACCCCAAGAGCGACACGCGTGCAGAATGTCAAACAAATCGTGTTACCTGGGATATCCTTCTTGTGCAGGAAAGTTCGCATAACAGCAATCTTTGTCTTTTCCAAACCATCCTTGGTACCACTCTTCGCCGCTTTCATGAGCTGTGTCATCTGCATTAAAAAAATATAGGTGACAAACCTGTGGTTTTGGATGTCCTGCCAACCCCCCCCCATTGTTATTTCAATTCAGAAAAATACAATTAGTCCTCGCTTAATGACCACAATTGGGACCGACAACTCCATCACTAAGCGAAACATCATGTGACTGCCACAGACTTACGACCTCAGTTTCCCTGTGGTTGTTAAGTGAGACCTCACGTGACCGCAACTTGCAATTTCACTGCGGCTTCTCCATTGACTCTGCTTGTCGGAACCCAGCTGTGAAGCTCGCAAATGGCAATCACGTGACCGTGGGGTTGCTGCGACAGTCCTAAGTGCGAGGACCAGTTGTAAAATTACTTTTTCAGCGCCGTCCTAACATCGTATGGTCACTAAACAGGGCAACCATTAAGTGAGGACTACCTGTATTCTTTCTTATGTTCTCAACAGCTCCCAGTCACAGCCCGCTCTTCTAGGACCAGCTGACATCCCCAGGCAGATTGCAAGCTGAACTCTTGAATTGTCAAAACTTGCTGTTTGCCAAGATGTCAGTTTTTCAATCTTTTACTGTCTACGGATGCAATGTTAAAAATCCTGGGAATTAGGAGCAAGTTTTGGGACACATGGGTGGGAGCGAAGCAGGTCTCCTGAGAGAACGTATTCCACAAAAGTATTTCTTGGCGTGATTCTGCAGCTGGGAACTTCTGGACGAGAGCCCCAGATGCTGATCTCCGCACCGGGGACTGAGAAGACTCATGGCTTCCTAAGCTAAACTAATTCAGCCCACTGATCAGTGAAATCACATCTGTTAACCTCTCTTTTACAGGTCCTTTGGACATCTCTCCTCGCTCCCTGACCCCACTTATTTAGACTTTTCTCAAGCCCCAAGGACAGATGTCTAAATAGGAACAGGCACATGCTACAGGATGGGAAGCGTTCTGCTTTAACAAGCAGGTTAACTCTTGCAAAGCGGAGAGAACAGAGCAGCAAGCGAAGAGCCGAAGGCCGAGGGCTTAAACAGGAACCGAAAATGCCTTTTTTGGCACCCCAAATCAAAGCAAGGTGGGAGAGGAAGAGAAAACAATTGACGGTCCAGAGGAAGGAGCACAGTACCTTACAATCGTATCTTTGCTTCAGGTCCTGCATCTCTCTCCCCCCGACTTTCAAAGCCAGGATGTCTCTCTTAGTCCTGGAGCATCTCTCCTTTAGCCTGTGAAGGTCGGGAGAAAGCTGCCACCCCCAAATTTGAGCGCCAACGAAGAAGAGAGGAAGCCGCGGGAAAAGGAAGAGAGACATGCACAGAAATCGGGGTGAGCAGCGACGATCTCGGCAAAGACTCAGGGGAGGCAAGGAGGCATCATGAGCCGCCCGGTGCCCGGCAGTTGGCAGCAGGGTTAGAACAAGAAGCTGGCTAGCCACGTTCCTACAGCCCCTTTGCGAGGGTCCTGGACGGGATCTTTGAGACGAGTCCCGTGATTCATCTCCAACCGAGAGAAGCAGGAGCCCCTTCTCAAGAGGGAGAGGTCAACTAAAGGCTTGGGAGAAATTTCCTGCCCTCCGAGAAAACGCCGACCTCTCTGGCAGACCCCTACGCTGCAAACCGTGCAAAGAATTCGCTTTCACGCCCGTTCCCCGGTTACCTTCGGCTGGAAGGACACCTTGGGCTTGGCGTGCCCCACATCTGCCTTGACTTCGTCGGCCGAGTCCTCGCTGTAGCTTTCGAACTCGCTGGAGCTCCAGCCTAAGTCTTCGGGCTCCGGCGGGGCCGTCGCGGGATGGACATCTTCGTAAATTAAGCTCCTCTCCGAATCTGAAAGAGGGAGAAGCGCACGGCGCCACTTAACCAGGAGTGACCACGGATGGGGAAAAGGGGAGCCCGGAGCAAGGAGACTTCAAGAGGGGAAAAACAGAATAAGAATAAGAAACTGCATACATCAGATGGCACAGGATGGATTGAAAAGAAAACACAGTGGAATTAAGAGGGAAAAGTGCAGATTATTATCCAAGCGTGTTTCCGTGCTAGAATACCTTACGGAGTGATCTTCAGGCAATTCCTTCTTAGAGTCAGCTGGAAGTTTTTATTTAAAACAAGAGGGGGGATTTGTAAACTCCTAAACGCGGGCCAGTGTTATCCCCACAGCCAAGATCTTTCTGCAGGGATTACTAACAAGGAAGGAAGGAATTAAATGTCGCACCACCGGCTGTTTTCAAAGGGGCGAAAGCAACCTCAAAAGCATCCCTCTCGCGATGCCGAGTGGGAAAAACAAACAGGGGTCTAAAGAACGGGGCTCTTTTAATGACATGCACGCCCTTAAAAGGCTGCACAGCATTTGGCCAATCCAGACCGGGCCTTTTATTAGCTGTCTTTTATTGCTAAAAGAGAAATGTGACCAATCAGGTCTGAAAACGTATGGAACGGTAGAGAAAAGCTTTGTGATTTGGAGAGAAAATCCTCTTGCTTCTCCATAGAGGGATCCAACTCCAGAGAAAACAGTTCATGGGGAAGAAGCACAGAACAGAAGATAGTCCAGAGCTGATTTTGTTCATTTATTATTTATTTATTAATTAAATTTGTATGCTGCCCATCTCCCCCAGAGGGTGACTTTAGTCACGGGTGGGTTAGCAGAGAAAGGAGAAACGTGCCCCAAATAAACTCCCTGCTTCAATTCGGCACGGCTGCACGCTACCCGATAGGCTAGAAATCCTTTTGTATTAAAGATGATCAGGGTGGGGAGGGGGGGAAGCAGAGAAAAGTCATCTGAGCACGTTTAGAGTGCCATTCCACCCCCCCATACGGGATTCTTGGCTTCTGTTCACAGAGGGAAAATAAATTGGGGAATCATGGATTGCTTGCCAGCCTAGAAGAAAAGCTGTGGAGAAGGACGTTCCCCTAAGACTTGGAAATCTTTTAAAAAACACTGAATATATTCGCTCCATTCCTTTTATTTATATATCAGATTTATCACCACCCATCTCACTGAAAAGCGACTCTGGGCAGTTTACAAAGGAGATCAGATCGATTAAAATACAATATAAAAATAATCTTAAAAGCAATCAATAAATTCCAAGAATGATGGAATTGTCAGCCTCCCCCAGGATGGATTAAAACTCTTATTTTAAAAACAAAATTGGGGTCTCATTCTATCAAGAGCAGGTAGATAAAGAAGCCCAACGCAACTGACTTATTTATCCGGGATGATGCACACGTCCCTCCTTTCCTTTCAGAGTTTGATCATTCCTGGCCACCGTGTCTCTCTGTCCTGATCTATTTATTTAACCAATTTATATGGCCGCCCAACTCACCGCACGGTGCCTTTTTTGCCCCTTTAAAAGAAGAGAAAGAAGCGGTTGTGGAGGGCAATTTTAACAAGGCAGTTAGTTAGAAAGGGGGGATCAGAATATTTGTGATAAGGAGAGAAGAATGTCGAAGGGCTGGAAAGGAAAACGAAGGACAGGACAGGAGAACGGCGGCCGGAGTTGGGAGGTGATCTTGAGCGAAGAGGAGGAAAAGTGTGAATGGTGAAAGAGAGGGATTGCGTGTGCGAGCCTACCACACTGCTGCAAGTCGACTTTCTCGCAAGGCACATCGTCGTAAATCACTTCATCTTCTGCAGAGGGGAAAGCAAACTGATCACCTGGAATCACAAAAACGACACAAAGTGGGGGGAGCTGAAGGATGAGCCTAGGGTGGATTGGACCACACGGAAGCCAGCAACCAGGAGGGACTCAGTCAAAACCACAATGAGGACTAGAATCTTGGCCTGCACTGTTTCCACAGAGAGCGACGCAGAGCAAGCCGCCCACAGACAATAGGTCTCCGTGCCCTACCTTGAGATGAGTTTCTTCTTTTCCAGCTGTAGATTCGAGTCCCAGATTGAGAGAAATCTCCATTGCTGACAGGGCCCACCAACCTGAAGCGGTAAAAAAAAATGTCATGCCCAGTGATCAGCTAGAATCCAATCAGCAAGGGATTTTGCATCTTCCTCTGCCACCCAACTTCTTCCTAAAAAAGAAATCCGTGCCAAACGCATCAGGGACGGCAGGAGAATTCACGTTTGCTCACAGAAGAGAATATTTCTAGCACGGGAGAGGTTACCTAGCCGGGTGACGAAACATTTGCAGAAAAACAACCAAGCTCAGAGAACCCCAAGGACTCGCAGAATTCATCTTCAGCTGGGTTCAAGTCTCTCCCTGTAGCATCGACTGATGCCATGTTTTATTACAATCCCACATGGCAGCAGTGAAAGGAAGGTGCAAAATACTTGCCCAGCTATTATTCCCTGGCTCATGGAGGGCAGGGTTTAATTAGGAGGCAATGGGGGGGGGGGAAGGGGGAAGAGCCAGGGTTACCCCCTCCCAAAAATCCTCAGTCCACAACTACTCTCAGGAAACTCCACTAAGCATTTAACATATTCCTAGGATCAAGGAGCCTCTGCGTCCAGCTGCCAGTGCCCGGTAGCAAAACCGCATTCATGGCTCTCACGCAGGCGCAAGTACAGCCTGTTCTGGGTTCCCCCAAAGCTTTTGCCATCCTGGCATCTTCATTTAAAAAGAAAAAAGTTTTTCTTGCAAACAAGGCTAAGATCACCAGCCCTCCATCCCAGCTGGCTCACGTCCTGCGGATCTTTGAATGCGCCCAGGGCTGATCTGCCCAAAACAACCCGAATCTCCCCAATCCATAATGCCTTCACTGTCTTTAAGCACATCCTAACCCCACCTGGGTGCCAGTGGTTTTGCATGGAGTTGGGACACCTGCCCACCCTCCTGTCCCTTCCGTGGCTCCACCCAACCCCAAATTTCTGGGAAGAGGCGAGAAAATACCCTGAGAAATTTGCCAGGAGACCGTACCCGGAAGGTGGCCAAGCTTCCTAGGACGCATCCCCGCCTCCCAAGCAAGGATGCTCAGATTTTCTCGCGCGCGCAGCCTCCTCGACTGCCTTCTTATACTGCAATACAGCACAACGCCCCTCCCTCTTTCGCAGGGCATGAGAGGGGCTGTGTGGAGGAATCCGGCCCCCTCCCGCCCAGCATCCTTCAGCATCTTTTAAATGGAAACCTTTTTCCTCCTCCCATCGCTCCCTTAATGGATGGAGTTGGGAAGAGGTTCATAAAAGCCACTCTTATTGGCCACTGAAGAGAGAGGAGAGAGAAAATCCTCTCGCCAAGTGCATTAACATTTTTATTTATTTCTTTAGCCTTTAAGTCTGCTTTGACTCTTGGCAACGACAGGGGAGAAGGAAGCAGCCTGGGATGATGAAATTCCCAGAAACAGGAGAAGAAGAGCTTCTGGCTTGCCTGCTTCCCTCACTTGACACAGCTCCACAGATTTGAGCCTCCCTTCGTCTCAGCTTGAAAAAAAGTGCAAAATGAACACGATCCCTTCCCCAGTTAATCAAAACTAAAAACAGCCAAAAAAAACCCTGGTTTATAACTCTAGGAAAAGCGTCCTCGTCTATTATTATGGCCATATTTCTATGGGGTTAACTCAAGGCGAAACATACCCTCTTAAATTCTCTAGAAGGCTTGATCAGGCAAGAGGCCAAAACAAAATTTAAAAATCAGAGAAGTAAAACGTGGCTGAACTACGAGCCATGTTTGCAGGAAAACGTCTCGGGCGAAATTTGAAAGAAGGTAGAAGATACCCACGTTGGGTCCGGTTCGGGTGCAGGTGTACTTTAAAGGTTGCTGGGATTAAGATTCAGGTGGGTTTCGCTCATGATACCAAACCCACAATTTTAACCACTTTTTTGACTCATCCTGAGCAACAGAACCACAGTTTGCTAATTACAGAGTTTGCTTTGCACGTTGCCATAAACCGAGGCCAAGCCACATAAGGTCTCTAGGATAACATATGAACACAGACCTGGATCAGCGGCCAAAATATAAATATCAGTGGCCAGGCGGTGTTTTCCTTCCAGCTGCCACCGGGGGGCAGAAGGGAGCTTCCAGCATCCTCATGCTTAGCATGCAAATATTGCAGATTTATCCAGCCCCTTCCTTTATTTGCTTCCCATCAAAGATCCCTCCCCGTCCTGGAAACCCTCATCCCCAGCTGCCAGAATGTGTTTTTCAACATCTGGATTGGTTTTTCTAATCCAGGCCTAATCCCACTGCTGCTAGCCAGGGCAGACTCCGATGGTCTGAAGTTAAGGACTGGAAATTCAGGGCATTTCCCGAAGCAGGACTTGCTCGGCTGCCCCTTCAAAACTTTGGGGAACTCCTCTGTGGGATGTGCACACAGCTGGGGAGAAACAGGGGGCCTTCTGTAAGGAAGAACTGATTTCTAGAGGCAGATAAGACAAAAATCGAGCCTCCCTTAATTTTGTGCCCCGAAAAGCCACGTTAAAGATTGCAAGAAGAAATGTCTGGGTCTCAGCTTGATTAGGGCGTGTTTTAAGTGCTGTTTCATCACCCCACTGTACTCTGTCCATGTTCAGAGTATGTATGAATGGGGAAAGAAGTAATTTTTTAAAAATCTCATAGGGCCAATTGCAATTCTCAAGTAAAAATTGCACCCAGAAAAGCGTTAACTAATTCTCAGTGCCGTTATCACAAAATTTCCACATACTGGATGCAGGTACGCGGCGTATGCACACAAAGGCGTTGCTGCTTTAAGGCAAAAATTAACACTCACTCAAGAGCTACCTTCCCCATATCACTAGCCCACATCTCAGGTTTGTTTCAGCCATTAAATAGATTGAAAGCAGTGCAACTATTGTGACTGAAAACAATGAAGAGAAAGTCTGCCAGTGAAGGAAACAGGAATTAGCAGGATCAGGTGAGGCTGCAGAAGCACCTAATTTGGTTAAACCTGATAATACACCCATCTAAAACATTTTGCATCTTTCCCCCATAAAGTATCTCCAGGAAATGTTCTGCCCTACTCCTCATCAAAAACAACACAACTTCAAAACCGCCGGAACTACTCCGACAGAAATTTAGATTTTAATGGAAAAGTTTAAACCGCGTCATTTTCTCCTCTCAAGCAGCGTTTACAGACCAAACATAGTTTATTTACTGAAAAACATTCCCAACCCTTTCAGAAACAGGGTAGGCCACAGGATTGTGAAGACACGCAAAAACCATGGGGAAATTTCCCAGAGGGTAGCTTTCCAAATGACACCCATCATGTCTTGCCTGGCCTTAAGATGGGTGATGAGAAGGTGACAAGCTTGGGAAAGGTATATTCTAAGAAACCAGAAGTTTTTTACTCCCCAGTCAAGCTATCAAGATACAGGCCAGCTGGGTTCCTACAACACACTCACCTCGCTACTGAATTCACCCATTTCCCGGGCATCACACTTTGAACCATAAACTAATCCCACAGATTGAGTTCACACAAAGCGAGCAAGTAAACCTCTAGGTTAAATTCAACCCCGCTTAGCATTTGGGGCTTCGCAAGGCTAATTCCAAAACTGTCCTGTTCAACGGGCTTTGCCAACCCAGCCGGAGAGTTCACACGACACAACTGTGGCACAACGTGGCTTGTTCAATTTGGGCTGAGTGGGCACGCACGAACCTCATCGGTGAAGTGCACAACTTTCTTTTGACTTTGGGGTTGGGGAGCCAAGCAGGGGTTGAGTAAAGCTGCTGCAAAAATCCAGGCGTGGCCAGAGGGCAGCAAAGATGCCCTCTGCCTGTCCCCCAGGCACTTGCCAGAGCTGGTAGCCAGGAGGGTCATAAGAATAGAATAAATTGGCTACGCTGGTAAAGGAAGATAAAACAGCAGCCCCACAACCAGCCTAACCACATTTCTTAGGACTGCAACCTGCATGACTGTACTTGGTGTTCAAACCACAGCGGAGGAGAGACATACAATGAAATGCACCTTCGTGCCATTTATGACTCTTCCTCGTGTTTTAAAAAGTACTTTTTATGTTACGCTGCTCCTTGCAGAGACCAAATCTGGAAGCAATCTGGATTTGCTCATGTTCCTCAAGCAAACAGAAAGGTTATGAACCAAGACTGGGGCGCCTAGGAGACTGAAAACAAGGCTCTGGAGCGCACCCAAAATCATTCCTTTGATCGGTCATCCTTTCGCCATTGCTCGCTTTAGAGCGGGCGTATACTGGAGCTGTGTCATACAACAGGAAGGAAGGAAGGAAGGTAGAAAGAAAGACATAAAGGTAGAGAGATAGACTGAATGTGCAAAAGAATAATAGGTCTCTTTTCATACAACGTGAAAGAGTTTCTATTTCAGCAAACCCAATAAATAGGTTTGCTAAGCCCGGCAACGAAAACCAGAAAAATACGCTGCTCTCCATCTTTTATGCCTGTGGTTTAAATTAGTCGCAATATGCTTTGAGGGGGAAATGAGAGCAAATTTGGTCTTGTGGGGAAGGCCCCAGGCTAGAAAGCAGGAGAGGGTGAGGTCTGGTCCCGTCCTAGGCGTGAAAGTCGGCTGGGTGACTTTGGGCCAGTCTCTTTCTCTCAGCCCAGCCCACCTCACAGGGTTGTTGTGGTGGGGAAAAGAGGAGGAGGAAGGAAAATTAGGGATGCTGGCCGCCTTGAGTTATTTATAAAAATAAGAAAGGTGGGATAAAAAAAAATCTAAAAAAAAATCAACAATTAGTTCTGCCCTGTGTAATCAAATGTACCAACAAACATTTTTTTGCAACACCCAGGTCAGCACTTCACCCCAAACAAACATTTTCCATTTACATTACAATCTCACTGCTCTCTTTTTCTTTGCATTTCGGAAGCTATTCCCCTCCCAGTGGGCTTTTCCCCAGAGAAGGAAAGGCCCAAGTCACCCACCCACCCACCCTTACCTGGAAAGAAACACTCGGCTCAAACACCCATAAATTAAGCTGCCAGACCAATCTCAGGGCTTGGTTTCCCAAAATGACCCATACTGCTTTGGGGAAGGAAGGGGCGGCTTTCAGCATTATTAATTATCCCAGGTGCTGGGTCCCTAAAGCAGCGTGGGAATGCACGGGTTTACCACCTGTGCGCGCACCCTGCAGGAGCGACCACGGAGACCTTGCCAGGATGAACCCCCAGCTGCCCTGTCAGGGAAGGAGGAGAAGAGGGCAGCTGCAGCGTTGCCACACCTGTTTGCAAACTTGGTGTGACCTCCACACACCCTGTGATTTACCCAGGGGAGGAAAGGAAGGCAGAGCTGCAGAAATTTATCTCCCCAGCCAACCCACACCAATTTCCTTATCCCTTTTTTTAAAAAAACGGTAAGTACAGCGGGCCACTTACTCGGGCTGTGCCTGCGGGTCACGGCAATCTGTCAAAAAGAGAAAAGAAACCCCGTCAGTTGGCATCTGGGAAAAGCAGCCTTCTCTGCCCTTCAGCCCTCCTGCCTGTTGTCTTCGGGGAACAGCTGTGATCCCGGACTTTGCAGCACTTCCAGCACCCATCAACTGGCAAAGCCGCTCTTTTACCTTGCACCGACTTTTAAAATAATTTTGGAATGCGATTGGGTTTGGGATATACTGCGATTTCAAATCGTACGATGTTTGGAAGTCTTGCTTTATACAACAATAATAATACTAAGAATAATACTAATAGTCACCCAGTAGAAGGGAGGTCCTAATCAGAAGCCTGTGGGGAAGGGGGGTGCATGGCAAATCTGCAGGTATTTACATACAAGTAAGCATCACTGTGTTCTTTTGGGTTTCTTTCCCAGGTAAGTATATACAGAATCAAGTTTTTAAAAAGTGAATTACGGCAAGTAAGGGAAAGGGGATGAAAAGGAACACGCTTAGGAGGAAAAACAGGAGAAATTATTTCAAAGCAGACAGGAGAAGGGGACATCAAATAATAATATTTTCTTAAAACGACAGCCTCTCTAGAAATCATTTTTCCAGGCCTGTAGATACAATTAGCCAGTGGGAAAAAGGCTTTGAAGAGCTGGTTCTGTGCCCCAGCCCGGAGCCCTGCAAATAGGGCAGGACCCATTTTTTGGCCAAGCTGCAGGCTTTTTCTGGTTCTCCAGCTGCTGTGTGCTTTATCTCTTTTTTAATTCTCATATTTGCATTTGTTTTAACGTTGTGAGCTGCCCCGAGTCACGGGCCAGAGATGGGCACCTGCATCGATGGACTCCATCCATGGATAAAGGCTTGCTGGGGGTGGGGGGAAAGGGCTGAACCCGGTCTGAACGCTCGCCTCCTGCTCTTACCGAGACGGGCGCTGGAGTCGGAGGAGGTCAAGGGGACACGATCCTGCAGGAGCGCTTCTTCCGCGTCCCAGTCCCCCAGGTCGTCACTGATGCTGGACCTCCGCCGCAGGGGAGGGTCCTGCAGTGCCCCCTTGGTGCCCAGCTCCGTCCTGGCATTGCTCACCACGAGCCGGGAGGCGTCTTCCTCCTCGCTGTCAAAATCAAAGGCTTCCCCGCCGTCGTCGGCTTCCCCCTCGCTCCCTGCACAGAGGGGGAAACAGCGGTGAATTGGGGCTGGAGAACAACGGGCCCTTGTCAGAGCTGCCTTCTGGGGGCCCCCGAGGTGGGATTACCCATTGAGCCACGTCCAGGGACTCAGGCAGAGACGGCTCCTTCCCACCCGTGGCTGGATCTCGTCCTTTCAACGGGAAATGGTAGCAAACCACAATCGTTGTTGATATGCACTTTCTTCTAAACCAGGGTTTCTCAACCTTGGTGAGTTGAAGAGGGGTGGGCTTCAACTCCCAGAATCCTCCCTGGCTGGGGAATTCTGGGAGTTGCAGTCCACCCCTCTACTTATTGTTATTGCAATGGGCACGTCTGCCTTGCTCCCGGGCTCTTCGCGCAGAAAGCTGTGAATGTAATAAATAAACTAAACCAACTCAGGGGTGCCAAGGAGGAAAACAAAGAATCTTCCATAAGATTAGTAAAATTAGAGATCCTCATGGCCTTATCAGTCTAAATCAGGTTGGTGTTATAGTTATTTATTTAGAGATGGGGTGGGTTGATCTGGATTTAAAAGCACAGGAGCCAGACTTATAAATGGAAGTTGACCGCTCCAAAACCACATGCACAAAACACTCAAATATTTCTTTCAAATAGGTCTTTTTTCTCTCCCCCCCTCTTTCCCGGGCCCCCTTTCTCTAGGGCAGCTCGGAGCCCTGGAATGAAAAGTCCCTTGCGCAGGGTCTGGTTTCGGGTTACTCCCGATTTAGCCCAAGTCCAGCTGCCCAAAGACTGGGGGGGGGGATTAACACTGCAGGGGTAAACACGGTCACCGGCTTGGATCAGCGAGCCGGACCGCTGATGAAGCCTCAGCTGAATCCTTTGGAGGAAAAGCCGCATTTCAAATAAGTCATGGCAAGACTTAGACTGGGGTGGAAGCACGCAAAGAGGGGGGCCCTTTGGTCCCCTCCCTCAGGAACCAGAGAAAGGCAGGGCGAGTAAGAAGGAAAACGTGGAAAACCTTTTACGGTCATTGTTCCCTCCAGCGACCATGAGGTCTAGACCCTTGCTGCAGGTTTACGCGCGAGCCGAGTTCCCTGCAACCGTGGGGTCTGGGCGCAAGGAGATGTTTTGCACCCTGGCACCAGCGCCCGGGAGCCTCTTTGCCGCTAATCTTTGCAGGAACAGGAGCTGCTGCCTCCGGGGCGACGGTACCTAGTGAAGCCCTTTGGGGCGGCTGGGAAGAGGTCATCTCTGTCTGTCTCCCACACTTTCCTGGGGCTTCTCTCCCGGTTCCTTCCCCTGCTGCTTCCCTAAGGAGAAAAGCAGACGAAATGCGTTCAGCGGGGCCTCTGCCCTCCCAGAAGACCTTTCCCCGGCTCCTTGCCCTCGCTCAACGCTTCGTCTTCCTAGAAAAGAATCTGCCCTGGGCACCCATCTGGGGGGCAGGGGATCATGCCCGACGCACGCAGGGAATTAAGGGATGCTTTCCCTCTGTGCCCGCAAGGGCTAGAAACACACGTTTTGCTTGCCAAGGGTTCTGCCTAGGGCAATTCGCAGATAGGTCCAACCGCATCGCACGGATCATTGACCCACATTAGGGAGCCTTGTGAAGAGGAAAGGTGGTGGGTGGGGAGGAGAAAAACACAGCCCAAAATGATCATGGGTGTCCAGCTAACATGACTTTTTGGTCAGTGACTGATTGCTAGAGAGAGAGGAAGGGAGGGAGGGAGGGAGATGATTGATAGATGATCGATAGATGATAGAGATAGATGATTGATAGAGTGATAGAGATAGATGATAGAGATAGATGATTGATAGTGATAGAAGATAGATAGATAGATAGATAGATAGATAGATAGATAGATAGATAGATAGATAGATAGATAGATAGATGATAGATAGAATATACAGCAATAAAATGTAAGAGAGAGGGTTGT